GAGCTGTACTCTGTGTGTATACACACATGTCCTATTTCATGAACAGTATATTATTAATAGGTTCGTTACCAGTTAATTACATTGTCATTGTCAATGATCAGGAACAATTTACACCAGGAATATCGGTCGACCAGTTAACACACACATGTAGTATCGATAACATCCGTCTGGGAATTCCACGAAACCAATTATCTGTTGAGGATTTTAATTTGGAGAAAAATCTTCATAGCGCACATTGATTTATCCTCTAGTTATTCTGCAGTAGGCGAATCCTAAAGTAGGCGAACCTAGAGTAGGCGAACTCTAGAGAATTCGAGAGTAGGCTGACCAAAGAATAGGCGGTCCAAAAAATAGCCGAACTCTAGAGAACTCGAGAGTAGGCTGACCCAAGAGTAGGCGAATCCTAGAATAGGTGAACTCTAGAGAACTCGAGAGTAGGCTGACCCAAGAGTATGCGGTCCATAGAATAGGCGAACTCTAGAGAACTCGAGAGTAGGCTGACCCAAGAGTAGGCAGTCCATAGAATAGGCGAACTCAAGAGAACTCGAGAGTAGGCTGACCCAAGAGTAGGCAGTCCATAGAATAGGTAAACTCTAGAGAACTCGAGAGTAGGCTGACCCAAGAGTAGGCGGTCCAAAGAATAGGCGGATTCTAGAGAACTCGAGAGTAGGTTGATCCTAGAGTAGGGGAATCCTAAAGTAGGCGAATCCGAGAGAAGATAGACCCTAGAATAGGTGAACTCTAGAGAACTCGAGAGTAGACTGACCCAAAAGAAGCGGACCGCAGCGTAGGTGAACCCTAGCAAAGGCGAACTCTAGAGAATTCTGCGGTAGGCTGGCCCTAGAGTAGGCGAACCTTAAAGTAGACGAACCAAAGATAGCTCTGATGTAAGCGAACCTACTTATCCAACGGGTGATGTCACTAAATACATTAAAAATAGAGAGAATTGTGTCTCTACTCTTCACAAAAATGATTAAACATAGAACACCTCGAAGTCAACACAAACACTTGGTTTTAATCCTTTTTAGTTTGATGAACATTTGTGGTGGTGTGGCATATTATAACCAATGATAAAGAGGGAAATTGGGTAAGGGATATTTTCCTAAAATATTACATTTGAATAATGATATTTGATATCAAATGTCAAAATTTTTCAAAATTAATGACACAAAATATGTTGTCCAATACAAAAATATAGCCATTGAGATATCTGTAGTGGGCGATATCGCCCGCTTGCTGAGGAACGTCACCATGTAAGAAAAGAAAAACGTTGTTCCTTAAAGAGAAACGTGAAATATATAATTCATAAACTGATGGTGTACAGGACCCTAAGTGATCACCAGCCAGACGAGGAGCACAACAATGTAAAGTTTCTCAAAGATCGAATTTTATTTTACAATTAAAATCTTAATACTTTCTAGGTGTTAATGAGATGTTATAAAATATAAGTTTAGACGACAGATTGCTAGGAGATATTGGTAAGGGCAGTATCCCATACAGGTCTTATATCCCCCCACCCCTAGTCCACTTGATAACATTGTTATACCGACATCAGAGTGTTTACACAACTTGTTTGAGACGAAATCGTTTATTCTGTTCAAATATTTGATTCAGTCCGTTATCTTGCAGTACGAAGTACCCCAGTCAATATATACTATTGGTTTTATAGAAAATCGTGATCATATGATGATATGAAATGGTTTACTTCTGTCTGGTCTATGGTATGATAAGGAGTGGCTTACCACTGTGGTGTGTATGATATATGAAGTGGTAGACCATTTTTTACTGTGTGGTCTGACTATAAGGCATAAGATGATTATAACACGTTGTAGTAATAAACGGTTTATACATCCTCCCAAACAGGCCTTTGTGTACTATCATATATGATAATGTATCCTCAATAATATTAAGCCCCCCCCTCCCCCCCTCGCCCTTCAGATATGAATGAAATCTTGACTGTTAAAAGTACCGATATCATATAAGAAGTGACAACTGAAGGGCTATACAATGGGTTTTTTTTTTTTTTTTTTTGGGGGGGGGGGGGGGGGGTCTGGTGGGGGAGGGGGAGCCTTCATTTGTTCATTACTATGACACGACATTTCGGAAAAGAGTTGGGTTGGTTATCTCTAAATGTAGCACTGTCCACAGAATTAACACATTCCATTTCCTACATTGTATTAGGTCCATGCTTTATATTACCACTGTTGTAAACATCTGGACGTCAGAATGACGACACGTGCCATGGATACAGGAATCAGTATGAAACAAAATGTAGATTTCTGGGGATCGTTAGAGGTCAAGGACGAAGTGGTCGCTCACTAAATGTGTGTCGGGGAAAGCTGATTCGTCACAATTACCTCGATAAATTCGTCGTTCTTCTTTCCGATAACTGACATCGTTTTTCGCACATATGATCATCATGTCCTGTAATAAAGACTATACCTAACTCATTGTAAGCGTTTTGTATGGTGGCTGAATACGGTCATCTTGTGTTGTCGTGATGTCGCCTTGTGGTGTTGTCACTAAATCACCCTCTTTGGAGCTGTTTGTGGATTCTACTTACCTGTAACTACCGTTCGGTGGCTGACATACATATTGCTACCACAGGTACTAGTCGTTTTGGGATTATTTGCTCTTTTGGACTTTCATGTTGCATTTAACGGTAACTGATATATTATTACAATTTCTTACTGTGTGTACCCAGGTCAATGATAACAACTACGTACTTTGTGTATCCTGGCTAGTTCTTATCAGTTAACATATTAATTACATCATCTCGTTTCTCCAGAGATTATAGTAAAGAACTCTCCTTTAGGTGGAGGTAAACTTTGGTAGTACACATGACGGATGCCAAAAATCAGATTTGGTTCATATATCTACAATGTTTGCGTTATTTCGACAGCTTTGAGAAAGTGTACTCCAAGGATATATAGAAAATATGAACTAAATTGACTCCCCTGAATACTTTAATCTTTATCTGGAACATTTTAAATGAATCAGTGTAGAGAATAAGATTAAATTGAATGGACGGGAACCCCCGTTTGTAATAATGGAACATATTTTGTTGGATTCTCATTTTATACAGAGGAAGAAAACTGACTAAGTACAATCATGTTTGCTATTTTATCGATATTCATATGATTATGAATGACATTGGTCTTTGAAAAATAAGTGCAAAGTAGAGTGGACATTACGTAAAATACATTTATCTTACAAGAAATGAAAATAGTACAATTTTCAAAAAGAAAAAACGGTCTCGAAATGTTGCAACTTTTTTAATGAAAGACGACATAATATTTCTGCTCGGCATTTTACTAGAAATAATTATCTTGGTTAATTATTTTGACTTGAAATCCAAAATTCTTGGAAGTGATTTGCATATTTCGAAATTCATTCAACCTTTCACATGGTTCTGATTGTATCGTACTTAGTCATTGTCAGGCGGGTATATTCGTGACGTTTCCACGTCAATATTTGTGACGTTGCTAAGTGCCCGACCTAATCATGCTTGCCAGCTACACGATCCCAGGTGTAATGGTTTACCTGTTCACGTTCGACCGTGTATTGATGTATAATGCATTATCTATCGACCAGAGCTTGGCGGGGAGAGGCGACGGATCTGTAGAACAATGAACTGGTTATTAAATGATAAAAAGTCAATAAATTGAGAATACATGTTAATGTGGACAGTCATGATGGTAATCCGTCTTATCGAATAAATCATAAGTATAAAAGTAACACACGTAATGATTAACTATATCACAAGACATTGAATTAATTGAAATTATCTCTGGACAAACATAATCTTCAAAAAGATACTTTTCACGAACGAAAATTACAATACAATAGCAGATTATGTTCATTTAGATTATAATACTTTAAAAGTCTTGCCGCGTAAGAGTTTAGCTTAACGGAACAGTGGAATATTTAGTGGTATTCATGTACAGTGTTACATTTCTTCCATTATGACAAAAGTCTACTGGTATCAGATATCCTGTACGATAAGTACATCGTAAACACTTGGCATCCGCAGACAGATGTCATGTCCGTGTGTTACCAAATATAGAATATGCCGTAAAATAAATCATTAAAAAACATGGTGGTTTTCGTGACATTAAAACTAAATATTTATATGTAGCTGTATATCTGAGTAAGTTATGAAACATTTTCAGTGAATACATTATACTATGTATTGATATCGATATGGACAGAGAGGCTACAAGCCTGCGTCCACTATTTATGCTAATAATGCTAAGTATATTATTTAGAACATGTTTAACAGCGCCATCGTAATTGCCATCATCCAGAGGTCACGATCCTCTTCGCTTTCTTCACCCCTGGAACATGTCATGGTTGAATTGATGGCAAAAGAAAAGTTATTCCATTGGATCCAAAACAAAAACCTGACCAATCGTAAGCTGATATTCTCCTTTCAAGATTACAAAGGAGCGACACCCAACTTCGAAGTCATTATAATTGTTTGATGCATTTTTGTATGATCAAACTAGCCTTTTCGTCTTGTCCACAAGGTGTTGCACATGGAACCATCAATTTTGTTATGACATGTCCCAGGTGTGCAGAGAGTGAAAGTGATTGTAATCCCTAGAGTGTTGAGAATGCATTACTGCCGATTCTAGCGTCGCACTAATCGAGTCTCCGATTATAAATAAAATAGCCATGCTTGAGTGCATGTTTTTGAATCAGAATTTACGTTCTATACAATGAAGTTGAGGCCTTAAAAACTCTTTAATTCTGAAGCCTACTGAACATTGGTTAGGCTTCCAGGAATTTAAAAACCAAGTTTCTATATAGGTGAACGGTTAAATGAGGCCGGATAAGGGTTGGACTTTTAACACAATAAGTTTTTCACGTTTTAATGTTTAAGTACATTTAGACAACGTAGAATAACAATATAGAAAAGGTATTTAATTTGATAGTTTACCTTATCTGTTTTTCAGATTCGAGTATATTAGCACAGTGAAAAGAAACCGGAAGTCATCATGGGTCTCAGTTGTTCAGGAAAGGTTGGGATGCTCTTCCTCATCATCTTAAATATAATTTTTATGGTAAGTATTGATCTTTTTTCTCAAATAGATTGGTTGCTTGTTTGGATGGTTACAGATTTTCCGTCTCTTTGACTCGTCCTATTTCTAGACGTTATCTCACGGATGTCAGCGTTCTGGTGACATATTCTTTCATAAGTATCAACCTTGACCTTTCATAGGTATCAACCTTGATCTTTCATAGGTATCAACCTTGATCTTTCATCGGTATCATCCTTGACCTTTCATAGGTATCATCCTTGACCTTTCATAGGTATCAACCTTGATCTTTCATAGGTATCATCCTTGACCTTTCATAGGTATCAACCTTGACCTTTCATAAGTATCAGCCTTGATCTTTCATAGGTATCAACCTTGATCTTTCATAGGTATCATCCTTGACCTTTAATAGGTATCAGCCTTGACCTTCAGTATGTGTAGACTTTGAACATCGATAAATATAAAAAGAAACCTACAAGGTAGTTGGAAAACATACCACTGTTAGATGAATTCATTTCAATATAAAAAATGTTCATGAATATCGTTGATTTCCGCTTCTTTCGCAAATAAAAACACCATTTGTCTGTTTGAAGTACCGCTGGAACATATTAACGAAAATGAAATTTTATACAAGTAAGAAATGTCATGTTCTCAAATATAGGATAAGGCATACAATAACAGAACCAACAGGCAAACTAACGGGCATCAAACACGTCCAGCTTTATATCACACCAAGAAGTAGAATATTTCTCAATTTGATCACTATGGTGTCATAAAACTTCCCCATAACTTTCATCAACCTGCATCGTTTGAAACCCTGTGTTACGAGTTTGTCCGCCAGTTGAAGACTTCTTGCACGAAGTCTTACACAACGTGATATTAGGAACAGGCCCTTGTATATCTAATCAACTGTGACATGTAAATACCATAGGTTGGAGATGCAGGGATATTGCTATACAGAAATGGAAAATTCACATTAGGGAAAATGAAATCATCACGTTGTACAGCTGGTTGAGAGATGTCCAGATTGGTTTCTTTAAAGGAAAAGATGGAGATAAGCGACTGATGTAGAAAAGTCTGTCGTGTCGTTGATTTCCAAATTCTGATGGGTATTTACCATGGACATGGTCAATGTATTTCTTGCTATTTAAAGGCAAGATGTCGTCAGCAGAGCTGAAAGTGAAATTAAACGACTTTGCGAGGTCTTTTTCAGCCAACAGTGGGCCGCAGTTAGTTCCCATAGGTATGCCAATAGTCTTGAAGATCTTACCTACCAAACTCGATGAAGATGTTGTCAACCAGGAACACGATCATGTACGCCTTTTTATAAAAAAAAATCTATATATTTCAGTTACTTGGCCTCGGCTTGATGATTCCGGGAATCCTGGTCCAGGTGAACGTCGATATCGTCAATGACAAAGTGATGCCCCTTCTTAACCAGGTGTCGTTGGGTGGTCTGACCTTTGGGGATGCTGCGAATGGCCTCTCAGTAACACTTATCGTACTCGGAGCCTTTATTCTACTGGTTGCAGGTCTGGGCGCGTTTGGGGCATGCTGTAAAAACAGATGTATGCTTGTGATTGTAAGTTTAATACATTGCCCGTAATCCCTAACGCTAGTGATTAAAGAAAGTTAATCTAATTCTTCGGATGTCATCGGAATCACAATGATAATCATTATCAAACGGCACCAAACCCATCGCTAATAAATAAAGACGAAAATGATTACAATGTTAAATATAATTCCGGAAGTGATCACGCCAAATACCACCCCTCAATAAATTCTAAGAAAAGTTTCTAACTTTAACGCCGCCATGTTTGATTTTTCAGTATGCTATCATCGTCGCCTTGTTCTGGATAGCGGAAGTAGTTATTGTCATCTTGTGGTTTGTCATGCGCGGCAATGTAAGTAAAATTGTTATCATGCACCTGTATATATATCTCTGCAGATCAACAATCTTTTTTCTGATCTCGTCAACTTCTTTGACGGTCAACGCCAATCAAATTATAAATACTGTCTGTCTCCAAATAAGCAAAGTTTCCTGTATATGCAAAGAGGACATTTCTAATCCGGAACAAAGTCTTCATGATCCTCTGTACAATACCTGCTGTGTCGCATTCTGTTAGAAGATATTGTTATATAAAGCCATATCAGATGTCACATTCGGAAGGGTCAGGAAAGGCGACTTGACATATTTACGATATTAACATCAGAAATAAAAAAAAAACATTCATATAAAATATTGAAAAAAAACTGGTTCTGTTCTGTCTGCAGCTGGAATCCGAGGCTAAGTCACAGTTATTGTCACAATTACATAATAATTACAAAAATGACGATCTGACGACGCACGAGATCTCCACCTCCTGGAACTATCTGTTTATGGAGGTAAGTTATTTCATATCATACACTTGACATAGAATTGAGCTGTTTCTACATAACCTTTACAAAGAAGTGAGCTGTTTGTACAAATCATACCTTTGACATAGGAGTGAGCTGTTTGTACATAACCTACACTTTACATAGGAGTGAGCTGGTTGTACATAACCTTCACTTAACATAGGAGTGAGCTGTTTGTACATAACCTTCACTTAACATAGGAGTGAGATGTTTGTACTTAACCTACACTTTACATAGGAGTGAGCTGTTTGTACACAACCTTTACAAAGAAGTGAGCTGTTTTCACATAACCTACACTTTACATAGGAATGAGCTGGTTGTACATAACCTACTCTTTACATAGGAGTGAGCTGTTTGTACATAACCTTTACAAAGAAGTGAGCTGTTTTCACATAACCTACACTTTACATAGGAGTGAGATGTTTGTACTTAACCTACACTTTACATAGGAGTGAGCTGGTTGTACATAACCTTTACAAAGAAGTGAGCTGTTTGTACATAAACTTTACATAGAAGTGAGCTGTTTGTACAAATCATACACTTGACATAGGAGTGAGCTGTTTGTACATATCATACACTTAACGTAGGAGTGAGCTGTTTGTACATAACCTTCACTTAACAGAGGAGTGAGCTGTTTGTACACAACCTTTACAAAGAAGTGAGCTGTTTGTACATAACCTACACTTTACATAGGAGTGAGATGTTTGTACTTAACCTACTCTTTACATAGGAGTAAGCTGTTTGTACATAACCTTTACAAAGAAGTGAGCTGTTTTCACATAACCTACACTTTACATAGGAGTGAGATGTTTGTACTTAACCTACACTTTACATAGGAGTGAGCTGGTTGTACACAACCTTTACAAAGAAGTGAGCTGTTTGTACATAACCTTCACTTAACATAGGAATGAGCTGGTTGTACATAACCTTTACAAAGAAGTGAGCTGTTTGTACATAACCTACACTTTACATAGGAGTGAGCTGGTTGTACACAACCTTTACAAAGAAGTGAGCTGTTTTCACATAACCTACACTTTACATAGGAGTGAGATGTTTGTACTTAACCTACACTTTACATAGGAGTGAGCTGGTTGTACATAACCTTTACAAAGAAGTGAGCTGTTTGTACTTAATCTTCACTTGACATAGGAGTGAGCAGTTTATACATAACCTTCACTTGACAAAGGAATAATTTATTTGTACATAACTTACACGAAACATAGGAGTGAGATGTTTGTACTTAACCTTCACTTGAAATAGGGGTGAGCTGTTTAACATAACCTATACTTTACATCGGAATGAGCTGTTTGTACTAAACCTTCACTTGACATAGGAATGAACTGTTTTTACATAACCTTCATTTGACATAGGGGGGAGCTGTTTATACATAATCTATAGAGTAAGTTGACCTATACAATCTGAGGTGTATAGAGTAAGTTGACCTATACAATCTGAGGTGTATAGAGTAAGTTGACCTACACAATCTGAGGTGTATAGAGTAAGTTGACCTACACAGTCTGAGGTGTATAGAGTAAGTTGACCTACACAGTCTGAGGTGTATAGAGTAAGTTGACCTACAGTCTGAGGTGTATAGAGTAAGTTGACCTATACAATCTGAGGTGTATAGAGTAAGATGACCTACAGTCTGAGGTGTATAGAGTAAGATGACCTACACGATCTGAGGTGTATAGAGTAAGTTGACCTACACGATCTGAGGTGTATAGAGTAAGTTGACCTGAGGTGTAGAGTAAGTTGACCTACACGAGGTGTAAGATGACCTAAACAATCTGAGGTGTATAGAGTAAGTTGACCTACAGTCTGAGGTGTATAGAGTAAGTTGACCTATACCTATACACATCTGAGGTGTATAGAGTAAGTTGACCTACACAGTCTGAGGTGTATAGAGTAAGTTGACCTATACAGTCTGAGGTGTATAGAGTAAGTTGACCTACAGTCTGAGGTGTATAGAGTAAGTTGACCTACACAGTCTGAGGTGTATAGAGTAAGTTGACCTACACAGTCTGAGGTGTATAGAGTAAGTTGACCTGAGGTGTATAGAGTAAGTTGACCTACACAGTCTGAGGTGTATAGAGTAAGTTGACCTACACAGTCTGAGGTGTATAGAGTAAGTTGACCTATACAATCTGAGGTGTATAGAGTAAGTTGACCTACACAGTCTGAGGTGTATAGAGTAAGTTGACCTACAGTCTGAGGTGTATAGAGTAAGTTGACCTATACAATCTGAGGTGTATAGAGTAAGTTGACCTATACAATCTGAGGTGTATAGAGTAAGTTGACCTACACAGTCTGAGGTGTATAGAGTAAGTTGACCTACACAGTCTGAGGTGTATAGAGTAAGTTGACCTACAGTCTGAGGTGTATAGAGTAAGTTGACCTACACAGTCTGAGGTGTATAGAGTAAGTTGACCTATACAATCTGAGGTGTATAGAGTAAGTTGACCTATACAATCTGAGGTGTATAGAGTAAGTTGACCTATACAATCTGAGGTGTATAGAGTAAGTTGACCTATACAATCTGAGGTGTATAGAGTAAGTTGACCTACACAGTCTGAGGTGTATAGAGTAAGTTGACCTATACAGTCTGAGGTGTATAGAGTAAGTTGACCTATACAGTCTGAGGTGTATAGAGTAAGTTGACCTATACAGTCTGAGGTGTATAGAGTAAGTTGACCTACACAGTCTGAGGTGTATAGAGTAAGTTGACCTACAGTCTGAGGTGTATAGAGTAAGTTGACCTACACAGTCTGAGGTGTATAGAGTAAGTTGACCTACACAGTCTGAGGTGTATAGAGTAAGTTGACCTACACAGTCTGAGGTGTATAGAGTAAGTTGACCTACACAGTCTGAGGTGTATAGAGTAAGTTGACCTACACAGTCTGAGGTGTATAGAGTAAGTTGACCTACACAGTCTGAGGTGTAAGTTGACCTACAGTCTGAGGTGTATAGAGTAAGTTGACCTATACAGTCTGAGGTGTATAGAGTAAGTTGACCTACACAATCTGAGGTGTATAGAGTAAGTTGACCTACACAATCTGAGGTGTATAGAGTAAGTTGACCTATACAATCTGAGGTGTATAGAGTAAGTTGACCTACACAGTCTGAGGTGTATAGAGTAAGTTGACCTATACAATCTGAGGTGTATAGAGTAAGTTGACCTACACAGTCTGAGGTGTATAGAGTAAGTTGACCTACACAGTCTAAGGTGTATAGAGTAAGTTGACCTACACAGTCGGAGGTGTATAGAGTAAGTTGACCTACAATCTGAGGTGTATAGAGTAAGTTGACTTATACAATCTGAGGTGTATAGAGTAAGTTGACCTACACAATCTGAGGTGTATAGAGTAAGTTGACCTACACAGTCTGAGGTGTATAGAGTAAGTTGACCTACACAATCTGAGGTGTATAGAGTAAGTTGACCTACACAGTCTGAGGTGTATAGAGTAAGTTGACCTATACAATCTGAGGTGTATAGAGTAAGTTGACCTACACAGTCTGAGGTGTATAGAGTAAGTTGACCTACACAATCTGAGGTGTATAGAGTAAGTTGACCTATACAATCTGAGGTGTATAGAGTAAGTTGACCTACAGTCTGAGGTGTATAGAGTAAGTTGACCTATACAATCTGAGGTGTATAGAGTAAGTTGACCTATACAGTCTGAGGTGTATAGAGTAAGTTGACCTATACAGTCTGAGGTGTGTAGAGTAAGTTGACCTACACAGTCTGAGGTGTATAGAGGAAGTGATCTAAACAATCCACCATTTATTTAGGAATGTGACTCGAAGTCAATGGACCTTAACTATAATTGGCAGAGGACAGGGTTTTCTTTATCGATCAATATTGTATTAAGTCACAAACTGGTAAACAAAACGTAGGAAAAGCTAGGTCCAGAGAAGAAAAGCTTTACTATTAATACTACTTTCCCCTTTGTTTTAGATTCTACCAAAGAAAGTTTGTAATGTTTTCATTTCCGCACTTCCCTTGTATGAATGCCATTTCCAATTTTGTTTAGCTACAATGCTGTGGTGTTAACGCAGTAGAGAGTACGACAAACGATTTTGACAGTAGCGTGTGGCAGAGCGGGTCACCTACAGCTCAGATACCTAAGGGGTGCTGTGGCGCTACCGTCAGCGACTATACGTCTTTTTCCCAAGCATCGTGCACGGACACTGTGACCTCTGGATACTATACTAAGGTAAGTCGAAGATCATGCAGATAGTGAAACTGTTAATTTGAACTCGAAAAGTATTCTTAACTTCTTTGTAATGATTACATTCATCTTATATCCCGCCAATGTTTGTTAATCAGAATAATTAAAATTTTATATGTATTGATTAACTTCGGCAATTACCTGTCAACTCTGAAATATTTATACATAAACTAAAGACCCACGTGCTTGTTTTAAACATGATTTTCTTGTCTTGTTATAGGGTTGTTACCAAGCAGTGTACGATAAGATTATGACATACAGCAACTGGTTTATTGGAATTGGCATTACCCTTCTTGTTGTTGAGGTAATCATACTATGTATTGACCTTCGGGTATTTCCGTCATTAATCGGACTCCTGTCGGTTATGATAAATATCCATTTAATTAATTAACATTATTATTGATCTTAATATCCACTGTGCCTTTTTGTTTGTATTTGTCGTGAATAAATTCACCGTTTGTGATTGGTGTGCGTACATTGCTGTGATAATGCACACTTATTTGTGATACATTGATGACTTTAACAGTGAGTATATTGGATAGAATTTCATTCTGAGAGGCATTCAGCTTGAAATACCGATTTCCATTTTTATGGATACATGTAGCGTCCGCTGTTTATGTAAGATGCAATAAGTAAGGTGTTTATATTGAAGTATATACCAGACACATTCCAGAATTTGGAATTACTTAAATGCCTTAATAAACGTATAAACGTAAATATCGTCAAACCTAACCCGGATATTGACTATCCTTTCATCCATGTCATTAAATGATAAATCTCCCCATGTCAGTTAAATGTTTCATCCAACATTAGCAGTGAATTACAAATTTCATCCAATCCCATACGTCAAAACAATCTTTTGACGCAATAACTTCATCTCCAATGAAGGAAGAATGAGAAAAATGATAATACAATAGAAAACAATGCTTTGAAAACATCACTCATTTAAAATACTCTCCACTTATTTAATTGTTTAACGATCGATATAACCAACACGTGTGTGATTACCATACCATGCAGGGTCACCATTACCAATGTTTTAGTTTGGATTCTCCTTAATGTAACTACTGTGTTGTCGTTGTGTACACTAATCACTAACTCCCTTGGTGTGCCTAACGTTGTGTTTTACAGATCTGTGCTATCATCGCAGCCTGTCTGATCTGCAAGCAGGTGGGAGATAAAGACATGGTGGTGTAGCAGATCACGTGACATCACGTGACAGGATGCGTGTAAGGTTTTATGGTATACCTCAGTATGTTAACTTATTATTGAAGTAACTGAAATATTGCTTTCATGGTTTCGATCAGAAATTATTATCTATAAACAAAGGAAACGACAGTATTCAAATGCAAATATATGAGCTAGTTCTCTCATATACGGTATGTTTTCTTACATTCTGTGTGGAAGAGTTATATTTACCTGCGTTGGAGAATCGCGGTTATATTATCATATGGACAAATTAGACAATAGACTGCTCATGAATACAATAACTAGGGGGTAAATCTCATATCATTTTCAACTCGACTGCTGAAGTAAGTAATTGGCTGTAAGTTGAACACATCAGAGTGAATTTGAAGGAATATGATATCCGTTACAATTACAATGGAATGTTTTTCCGTAGATGTAATAGATTTTAGCAGTTATAGTGTTCAAACATCTATGTTCAAAGAATTCTGAACCGTAACCAGTAAAACAAATAAAATATTTTTTACAAAACCACAACGGTTAATAGCACCTATAAATACAATCTGGAATAGTTACATTATAAAGTAATGAGCGGGTTGAATTTATCATACAGCTGTCTCCGATTCTTACTAAGGACTAAGTAGTTTAAAACTTTTGTTGAAATGACATGTGTTCTAAAAAGAACAATTTGCTGATATAGGATCTACAGAATTCACGGAAAGCGCAAACACATAAATGGCAAATTGAATGATAGCTGTAAGATGACGAGTGTTGGGATGAGCATTTGAAACACTTTGATTATACCTGTTTATTTATCAGAAAAAACGCAACACTGAATAGAATCACGTCTATTGAAATGAGTCTCTATTTCTGTAGAGATAGTTCGCAACAAGACAATTTTCCACATCACCAATGTTTCCAATGGTATATTGCTGATACGGACGTTCCTAGGGTATAATCACCTCAGTTGTAGATTTGACCGATTCTTTATTAACCCGTGGTCTAGTCTGATGATAAATGTCTGAAATATATACATTGATTTATTAACCCGTGGTCTGATCTGTTGGTAAATGTCTTAAATATTTGTATTTTATCCTAAATAAAACGTAATTTTCGTTCCCATTCTTACGACCAGATATCTGTCATGCTTGACAAGATTTTACGTAAAAGAATGGAGAAACGAAGTAGTTATTTTTAGAAGAATTAAGTAACAAAAGTTTAAGGTATATTAAATACATATAACATGTTTTAATGTGATTTCTTTTGTTTCAGATCATCAGCGTTACGTCAGTTGTCATACTGGTGAGGGAAGAAGGGAAAACAGGAATAATGGTGTGATAATAGATATACTTGTAGTTTGTTATTCTATTGTTCATTAACGCGATGCTAACGCTTGGAACTTAATAATTTTGTTGTCACTAGCATTTTTCGTAATTTTCATTTTTTTTCTCACCGGTTGTCACACGGTGTTGCAGAATGTTATGCTTGGCAGGGATTGTAATTCGCAAGATTATCTGAATGCATGCAAGCTAGTAGTATTTGTTAATATAACATAAATCGAATATAATGGATTATTTCCCTTTCTGAAATGTAAAATTTTGAATCCGTCCAATTTCTCAGTAACTTCATGCTATAATGACATTTATTTACAGACTCGTCATAGCACATTTTAATTTAATTATCAAGGCAGGCAAATTATGTTTTTAAATAAAGAGAGGTTATGGATACTTGAATATTGAATGCCCAAAACACCAACATATTTTTCCTGGCAAATATTCGCTCTTTACTCGGTATCTAATATTTGTGTATTATATACAGATATATTGTGTGATTAGGAAAAGAAAATGAACCATTGATATGATCTCTGTATCAAAACATTTACACATAGAGATCAGAAAATAAATTACTTATAAACTGATTTCATTATATGTATGGACTAATATTCCTTTACACAAAATGTCCTTCCTTGAAGCTTTTGGACTTGTGTCAGATCCTAGGTTATGTATTGGTGCTCTTCCATATTCCTACGCTTTCTTATCTGCTGTCACGTGGCCCGTATTCAATCTTATCTGCCATTTACATATGATGTTTGTATTTATTTAATTACATTGTATAATATATTGTTATATTGCTTTTGTTCTGTGTAAACTAATAAGTGTAGTAGTTTATTGCGGGATAGAGATATGGAACATTAACTTTTTTATTATTTTTTGTTTTTTATTCATTTGTAAACAAAAAAGTTATCATGATTAGATAAATATAGTATGGTATGGTAGATATAAATGTAATATTCAAATTATGTGTTGCATTCGCCTTCTTATGTTTATTACACCAAATTGTAGTATATGACACGGTTGATGTTGAAATTAATCGATCTAGATTTCTCCGAGGTAAAGAAAAATCGCTACCAGTCACTTCCACTTCGGTTTCAAAATTATCGTCATAACATACTTGATTACCGTCTACTACAGTAGCCTTGATGTCGATCTGACAATCCAAATTCAAAATGTAGAAATCCTTTACAAACAAAATGTCGTCACTTACTGACAGGAAGGATTTTCATTCATAATTTCCGTGGTTATTCTATTTTGAAAATCACATAATCCACTCCAAAACAAGAAAACGTAGATAATAAAGAGTTTTACTTTTATATTAATAATCAAATTAAATTTGTGATGATACTATTTCATACAATTGTTATTTATGATAAAACGGCGTGATATATTATTTTGGCTGTTCCCGGATTTGGAATTGCTGGCTTCAGTATTTGGTTTAGTGGGTAATTTAAATGGCGTTTTGCTAGTTTGTGTTTTGTTTGATTTTAATATATTTGATATTTGAGAGCGGAAAAACAACACATAAACTGTTTCCAGATGGTTAGGTTTTTAACAATTCATTATTTAAATGTATACAACGTTATGGACGGCATCCCAGTCAGGCATGTCTTACCATTCTGTGTTAACAATTGTTATAATCTATGTTGACTTATCTATGGCGACACAACATGTCATTAAATGTCACATATTTATATGATTGTATCGAGTTTAATTTATTTCATTTTTTCTCTGTTGTCCAACATTGTTGTGCGTTGATCACAATACAGTTAACCACCAATGTTCCACTTATACGATCATTCAAGATGTTATTGTTAGCTGTTTGTTTAAAGTTTCTAATTGAATGATTTAGTAAAACTGGTTATCACACTTGTGACGTCAGTATTTCGATATCGTAGTTCAATTGTTACAATTAAATTTCTAGCTAGTATCAAACGTTCTGATGTGTCTCTACTATTTATTCTTAAGCTACCAATGCATGTGCTTGTAAGTTAATCTGAAACTGCAGTTTGGAAAATGAGAAATTTCAATGGAACGGTTGTAAACATCTATTACATTTTTGAAATAATATTGATACTGAAACTTATCGATCAAATATTACTTTTATACAGAAATTATCCACAACATATCGATAAAAATCTTGTAAGAGAAATATCTATTTTGTATTATCGTTGTACCTCAATCTAAACACTTTGAAATTGATTAAATTCGTTATTATCTTACACGTATTTATAAGTTGTTGATGATAGAGTATTTGGTGAAGACTTGTTTAATGTGATCAGTAGTTTTACAGAACAATTCGTTCATTTTTTTTTAAAAAAGTTTATCTATACATTTTTATGGACATTGAAGAATTGTAAAGACATCAATACTATCGCTAAATTTTACTTCGTTGTAAAAGTCATAAAAAAGAACATCCATTCGATTTCGGAGAGGTATTATATTTTTATCCGACAAAAATAATATTGTTGAATGTATATCGCTATTTCAAAGGTGTTATTACAGATTTATAATATGTTTGATCAAAGGCTCAGAATAATGTTTGATATTAGATAATGGAATATGACTGTTGATGTTGAAATAAATTTATTATATAATGTTATTGCGTCATTGTTATACCTTATATACATTGCATTTGGAATCAATATATCAGTTGCAATGCTCAATACTAATACCGCAAAAGGCGTTTTCATCTTATTTCCGATCGTTAAAATGTTCCCCTTTCTCCAAAAAAGTTAATGCATAAGAATAATATATGTTTTGCGTTGTCATGGTTTGATTCGATATTTGAACACGAAGAAAAATGTAATCCTTCGGAGATAATTACCATTACAAAGAGTCAATATTTTTTTTCTCAACCTCAACAATAGTATTCACGACTTAATTGAATGTTTATCCCAGACGCATTTCAACTTTTGTCTGTGCATAATCTTGGAAGAATCCTGTAGTCAAACCGGGAAGACCTGACACGTAAATTTAAATACCCGGGATATAACATTTATTCTTAGTATGCCCATCTGTTGAAGACAAGTTTAGAATGTAGAACTTATCTCAAGATTTGACGATTGTTTGATCAACGATCTATTAGTCTGTAGCAATTTTTCTGTAATGTTTTTACTGAATGACTGTTTTCTGATCCTTGTCGAACTGTCATTACTTGCATACACTCAAATTCACAACTGTATTCCTAGTAATAGGTTTAGATGCATTTCTGTTCTGAACCTTTTCAGTTTTTGTTACACGACGAAAGATATTATCGAATGTTGAATTGTTTAAATAAATAATGAAATTTATAAATAAGTGTAACATTCAGGTTATTAAGTCTTGTCGCTAACTAGATATTTAATATACTGTCTTTCCCCTAAGTTGATACAATATATAGTTATGCTTTGGCTGTGGCCCTAACTGTGTTTTAAGAATGATTTCTGTAATATGTTACAGGCCTATGAAGAAAAGAACGATCTTGATTCTATCATATAAAATAGAGGTTTCTTGCTTATATTGGGTCATTTCAAGATATTGTATAACGTATCTTATCAAACCAGTATCTAGACAGTGCTCTATTTCACTTAGATCTATATTCTACAAGATTAAACTTTGCATCGCTCAGATTCGGATGGAATAGAATCAATAACCGTGTTATGCAATTAATGCATACCTGTCGTGTTTTATCATTGTCAAAAATCCACTTTAATTCGACAGAAAATCATTTCTGGAAGACAATCTCATCGACACGTTTAATGGTGAGATCATTTAACAGACAATCAGCATCCTTGTTGTTACGAACTGTGTCCCTGTCTTTGCTGACTTGTTTATTTTCATACGAGGCTAAATTCAAAGAGATTATCAAATCTGTTCACAAAGGCTTCGCGAAGTCCTTCAGTTTCCCTTTCAGATACATTACTGACGTCTGTTAATTAAGTTGATGCACATGCATGTATTCTGATGTTAACCGAGGAATGTCATTTAAACAAGTACCTGGTAGTTACGTTTTGGAAGAACTAGGACGATACCTGATACAACAGTATGTTTGTACATATACAGCCACCATTCGAATATGTGTATACGAATTCAGTAGGAAACTGAGTAACGTATGGTTAACATAGAATGGAAAAGAATACCACTTAAAAGACTATATATATTGAATGGCTTAACTAGAAGGCTACATTTAAATATCGATTACCTAGGATTTTCACCACTAGCTGTGATAAGATGATTCACTAAATGTGTGATTCATCAACAGACAGTGACGAAGCTGACATGACTTATGTTGTACCTAGGTATTGTGTCGGTAATATGGACAACACCGTTGTGTTTATTTCCCTCAGTCAATTAGAATTGTTAAGTTCACAGCAAAACGTTTTTTTTTTCATCGCTTAGTGTTGTTTGTAATGAAGCACAGATTAGACGGTTTAAACATCGCTTAGTGTTGTTTGTAATGAAGCCTAGATTAGACGGTTTAACTTTTATTAGTCTGACTGTAATATTTTGCTATCTTTTATTTTTCGTAAGACTGACTTATTCACTCTGTTGATATCAACAAACTTACAAATCTTTTAATACTATATGCATATGCAATTTAATTCAAATTTCGGAAGAACTAAAGACGTTGCAAACAAGTATTAATTCAATGCATAGTTTGAGTTACTGCCAACTGTAAGTCACGTTTCAATTCACCTCTTTTCTTGCAATAACAATTGTTTGAATATTCTTTGTCCTGCTGTGACACTATGCCGAAGTTAATTAGCATGTGGCATTGTTTTCCGATTCTTAAACAAAGTACTTCGGCGTGTATTGTTTGAGTACCTACAAATGCCAGTTTAAAACAACTTCTCACAGGAGCTTTATAAGACGTAAGAATCGCACATACACTAGACCGCCACAAAGGAAACACTTGGAATATTACGCAATCTTGGACCAGCGCAAAGGTAAGTCTCATGTTGAAACGTTATGCAGTTATTGTTATTTACAATATTCAAGTCTATAAAACACTGGTGAATGTTTCTTATATCATGTATGCTAATATTTGTTTGTAAAAACAGCTTTGATCTTTAATAAACATCAGACAAGGCAATCAACTTTGAAATGATTTTGATAGTAATCGATTGTGGCTGGTTTAAATATAAAATCACGCTTGCATTGTTTCATGTGGTCATTCATAGGGAACAAATGAGTGTAAACGGTTTACAAAATATTTTTATGAAGGAAATTCCCATTAAGTATTTTTAAGAACAAGTGTTATTTAGTAATTAGACATCTCAAATTGTTTCATCTGGCGTCTGCGAATATGGCTTTATTGCTCATCTGGCAGTAAAAAGTACAAAAGATATTGGAAACAAGTTGTTTTATTTTATTTTTCTAATGCAAATATTTCATCGTGATGAATATTCAGGACAAATATGGCATAAAGAATACGATACATACAGAAGGTATTTATTAAAACGTAGTATGAACATATGTATCAAAAAAAGCAAGCAGTATAGCACGGAAAATTATTCTCTTACGCTATTTGCTTTTGTATTTACAATTTGAATAAAATTGTTGATTTCTTTTTAATAACAGAATATTCATCATGTGTTGCTGCACGGAGACGATCTCGAAGATTATCGTTATAGGAACCAACATCATATTTTTGGTAAGTCGTGTGTGCCGTACATCCGATAAACAAGTTTGAGCAGTGTAAGTTACACTAAAGTGTCTTTTGTATAGTGCGTTATATGTGTTTAAGTACGAGTGTTATTAATACGTAATTATTCGGTGTCAACATTTATTACAGTGTAGAGTGTGATGATTGAACAATTATAAGACAGTCGCCACACAAAGTAGATAATGAATACATATATGTTTAACTGATACATCTGTGTGTTAAGCAAGATGTGGAGTAGATATTTAATGGTCTAAATTGACCATGAATATCTCAAACAAATTCCCAGACTATTTCTCACCTGCACTTTGATGTAAGAGATGTTGTAAGTACAAGACACTTGTATCTATTGTTGAGTAAATATATCTACTGAGTATACAAACGTAAAACGTAAATCGAACATGGAACTTGTATACTTAAACCTATATACTGTAACCTGTACATTACCATCTGTATAAAGTTACCTGTACATTGTAACCTGTATACTTAAACCTGTATACTGTAACCTGTATACTGTAACCTGTACATTACAATCTGTATAAAGTTACCTGTACATTGTAATCTGTATACTGTAACCTGTATGATGTAGCCTGTATACTGTAACCTGTACATTGTAATCTGTATACTGCAACCTGTATACTGTAAGCTGTACATTGTAATCTGTATACTGTAACCTGTACATTGTAATCTGTATACTGCAACCTGTATACTGTAACCTGTACATTGTAATCTGTATACTGCAACCTGTATACTGTAAGCTGTACATTGTAATCTGTATACTGTAACCTGCACATTGTAATCTATATACTGTAACCTGTATACTGCAATCTGTATAGTGTTACCTGTATGCTGTAACCTGTACATTGTAACCTGTATACTGTAATCTGTATAGTGTGACCTGTATATTGCAATCTGTATACTGTAACCTGTTAATTGCAATCTATATACTGTAACCTATATACTGTAACCTGTATAATGTAACCTGTACACTGTAACATGTATACTGTAACCAGTATATTGTAACCTGTATACTGTATACTGTAACCTGTACATTGTAACCTGTATACTGTAACCTGTTAATTGCAATCTATATACTGTAACCAGTATATTGTAACCTGTATACTGTATACTGTAACCTGTACACTGTAACCTGTATACTGTAACCTGTACATTGTAACCTGTAATCTGTATAGTGTGACCTGTATATTGCAATCCGTATACTGTAACCTGTTAATTGCAATCTATATACTGTAACCTATATACTGTAACCTGTATAATGTAACCTGTACACTGTAACATGTATACTGTAACCAGTATATTGTAACCTGTATACTGTATACTGTAACCTGTACATTGTAACCTGTATACTGTAACCTGTACACTGTAACCTGTATACTGTTACCTGTATATTTTAACCTGTATACTGTGTCATGTATATTGTAACATGTATAATGTAACCTGTTCATTGTAACCTGTATACAGTAACCTGTACATTGTAATCTGCACACTGTAACCTGTATACTGTAACATTTGCACCGTTATCTGTGTACTGTAAACTGTACATTGTAACCTGTATAATGTAACCTGTATAGTGTTACCTGCTTACTATAACCTGTATACTGTAACCTATATACTGTTATCTGTATAGTGTTACCTGTATACTATCACCTGTATACTGTAACCTGTGTACTGTTATCTGTATAGTATAACCTGTATACTGTAACCTGTATACTGTTATCTGTATAGTGTAACCTGTATACTGTAAACTGTATAGTGTAAGCTGTATAGTGTAACCTGTTTACTGTAACATGTCTACCGTGTTTCCTTCCTGTATATTTCTGTTGATATGCTGGTATTTTCATTGCTTTTTGTTTTATTTTACCTCATCTAACGCCTTTTCTAAAACTATGTTACACTTATTTGCATGTATTAAACATCTGTTTTCTACTTTCACTAGATAATTGGTATAGCTCTTATCATACCTGGGATACTAATGCTGACAGATATCGACTTGCTAAGCGAAAACATCAAGCCACTTTTAGAACAAATATCCTTTAACGGTGTCAATCTGGGTAATATCTCTGGCAACCTACCGATTGTCTTCATCTTCTTTGGCGTGGCTATACTGTTCATAGCCACATTGGGACTGATCGGAGCCTGCTGCAAAATCAAGACGTTGCTTGTGATTGTAAGTATACCAGTAATTATAAATTTAAATGTGCAGCTACAAGTGACAATCTGTTTCCTGTTTTTTTGGCATTTCAGCTCTCTTTATAGACGATACACTATGATATCCTATATTCCTTAGAATATCCCTACCGTTTTGATTTGTTTTTGACGATGATGAAAATAAAATAAAAGCCAAATGCTGAAATATTTCTTTAAATAAAGAGTATGTTTGTTTTATGGAATGCTTATGCTTACCTTACGTCAAAGGTCGAATTTATTGATACAAATCTCTTACTATTATCTTTAAGAAATAAATTCATGAATGTGACTTAACTTTAAACACTATGGTTACAACTTCAAATAATTCTCAAATTGTTTTATCTTTTACTTTTACAGTTTCCAAAAATGTTTTTAAATAATAACTTTCAATTGTTCATAGTTCTCTGATTGTTTTTTTTTCTGTGTGGTAGTCTGACTAGATCTATCAAAACTTAGTTTGAGTTAACCAGACGTATTTGAACTTCAGCTGAGTCACGATAGCTTTCAAACAATGATGATACCCAAATTAAACCAATTTGGCTTATCATTTAGAAAATTAATAAAGAGTCTTTACGATTTAAAAGTAAATGTATTCGGATTAACTTTTTCAACACCTGATTAATGGTTACCCAAGCATAGCGATAACTACTTGTAAGCAAAAACCAAAGTCCTGAAAATAACAACTGGTGTGCACACACCAAAATGCTAACAACAACTGTTGGTTGGCAAAAGCTAAAGTCTTAGCAAATGGGCTTGAAAATTAAATCTTTTTCATCATATTGTTTATTATTGAAATTGGTCCATCGCTGTTGCGAGAGGCAAACCTGTCAATTACAACTCTCTGATGTATATGTTTATACAATATATATATGTTACATGCTGGAGGTGTCTTTATTTCAGTACGCCATCATAGTTATCATACTAACAGTTGCAGAGGTCGTCATTCTGGTGTTCTTCTTCGTGCTGAGATCTCATGTAAGTATGCACCAAAGCGGTAGTAATTCCTTGAAAATGTTCCATATTCTATAAAGGACAATATTATAATTTGGCAATGACAAAAAACTAGTTATCATAAAACGTCAACGAATTCATCTGAAAATAAAACAAAAAGACGACAGCGTCAATTTACCGTGACAAAATACCACACAGAGTCATACAGTGATGGATTGTATGAATACGGTAATCGGTAACCGGAATTTCTTGGTTGAATAACTTCATCGTCAACGATATCTCCTTATCCATTCTCTCCGTTTTTGCAATCCGAATATTGACACCATTCAGAATATATGTACCTTCTTTTAAAAAAATATCCAATAATGAAATACATGAAATTCATTGAAATCATGTTTGGGGAAGTGTGTTTCTCATATATTTTGCCAATATTGGTTTTCCTAATAAGTCTCACCAATTTGGTGCCTTAATCATCATTGACGAAGAAGGATGAAACAGATGCACGTTGGATTGCGTGTTGGTTCCGTTATTGTATACCTTGTTCTTATTTGAGAACCTGACATTACTTACTTGGATTACCCAAGATTTCTATAGCGCTGTCGTCGATGAAGCAAAAGACACTTGCTAATCGGGAACACCTGGTCTTATTCTCCTTGTATTGTTTTCAGGAGATACCTGTAAATCTTTATTTTGTTCATATTTTGACTTAGTTTTATATGTTGGAATTTTCATAAGATTTTAGTCCAGTCCGGGTTTAAATGTGGCATATTTTTAAGTCCTTTTTTAAATCCTAGTTTCAATCTAATTTGGTGTCAATTGTTGTGCAATGATATACGTCTTATTTTTGCGATCATATCCTCATATCCTAATGTCAATGCGATTCATTTCAGGCCCTACTCTTGTTTCAATGTGATGTAATTTAAGTCTCTTTGTTTCAATTTTATACTTTTTATGTCTATTAAAGTTCTGACATTCCTTTTCAGTTTTAATATCTGAATGTATATCTTATATTCTAATACCAATGTAATTAACGTTCTATTTCAGCTGGATAGCACGATAAAGAATGAGTTCGCCAGTCAGCTTACGAGCAAATACACACAAGACCTGCTGGATAAGAGCGACACAGTCTCTTCGTCATTCAATTACATGTTCATGGAAGTACGTTTACTGAATAAAGTGCAAAGAGATCAAGTGATACGATAAATTCGTTTTAAACCAGAAAAAGATGCATCAAGCTCGCTCTATAGTGTTTGGTGTATTGACTCCGTAAAGCTGATAGAGAAATGTCCCTGTGACTTATCTTCGAGACAAATGTTTAAATGAATGGCACAGCAATTATCTAAGGAAAAAACTAGTGTGAAAGGTTGTACATCATTTTGTTGCAGGCAGAATGTTGTGGTGTTAATGCAGTTACTTCGACCACAAACGACTTTGATAACAGTCCTTGGCGAAGTGGAGCTGGTTCAGGCAAGAAGATACCAAAAGGATGCTGTAAAGGTGTAACGGAGGCTACGTACACCACCTATTCCAACCCCGCCTGCACTGACACCGCCACAAGTGGCACCTACTGGCCCTCTGTAAGTCATGTTGCTTTTAATCTCGAGCTGTTTGTGTTGTATAACCATTCTTGACTACATACCTGGTATATTTCAGGAAGATTTGTATTATTGTAAGTTCACAAACTGAAACCTGAATACCAGTGTCTTTATGTTACAATGTTTGTGATTTTCCGTGGTGAGAAATGCAAGAACAAGTTGAAATATACTGAAAACCTGTATAAAAGACCTCCTCTTCCGGCTTCCTTAAAAGTTTAAAAACGAAGCTATCTTATTCAATGTTTGTTCTGACATTAAAGTTGATTTGTGTATTTGATACTATTTTTGGTGATGAACTTTAATGAGCGAATATGTGTAAAAATATAAACCAATCATTTGAGCCTAATATTCGTCTTTTCTAGGGGTGTTACGATGTAATCATGTCTACCTTTGGAACCATTCTCAACTCGATGGGTTACATTTGTTTGGTTGCTGTACTGATACAGGTAATCTTCCTTGATGCAGAGCAAAATAATTATTTGAACTTCATCATGGAACCGTTTCATCCTTCCAAAGCACATCAGTGATGATAAGGTCTTTAATGTTTAAATTAAGGAGGTGACTATGGAAAAAAAACGTGAGCAACTGAAAAGTCAAAATTTAGATGGATAAGTGTATCACCTTGGTAATTAAATTATTTTCCTTCTCTGATTATTTCAGAAAACAACATGTGTATGTGTGTATTCTAAGCCGTGTCTCTATTCGATTGAATTAAAACATGGCATGTAGTAATGGCAAACGATAGTGACTTAAATTCCACATTTCACTAACAGTGTCTACAATTTCGAGGACTGCGCTAAAGTAACACTTTTTATACAAGCTTGTAAGTAGATTAAGGATAGACAAATAATGCATTTAAATGCACCATACATCTTTTGCGTCTATGACTCGTCAGTAATGCTAACGTTTCTAGGCTTGGAAGGCCATATATATAAAAAGTTGATACAGAAGTATAACTTGTCATCTATCATCTTAAGGTGTAATTTCATTCGAACAATTGTTTATTTCAGTTTGAATCAGAATGGACATGATTCTTACCTTTAAATACACTTGTAACGAATATTTTGTACAAAAGGAACAGCGATATTTTTTCATTTATTTTGATAAGTTTGTTAAAAATGTGAAGTCAACAACAGATTAGGAGTTCCGTAACGTGTATCACACTTAACCAATCAACCGAATCGAGCATCGACAAATTTACATTCTCTCATTAAAATTGCAAATTTTGTTGTTCCCTCGAGAAGCAAAACAATCAGCATGCATAATGTTGGAACCTGAGAAATACATGTAGATGTGCTGTCCTCTTTTCTTTGTGTTAAAGTATGAATCTGTTTAAATCATATATATATGAGAGAGGGTAACCCCTCTATTTATTATTTTTCATCATTTGGTAATAATATTACAAATAAACGTAGTATCTTTTATATATTGTGTATAAGAGTATTAGCTCAGAATACATTTTAATTACAATGGCAACATTTATTTTCTTTTTCATCAGATTTGCATCATTGTATTTACGTTCCTCCTGTGCTGTAGCTACATGACTAGTGTTGTCTAGTGTAAACAAAGGGACTTATGGAGTAATGGTCACTGATCCCACATGACTCACTGGACACGTTGGACACGCTAATTCATTTACAACGAAACCTTTGTTGGTCCGAGGTTAAGATGGATTTTTATTGAAGATGCCAGCATTTTAATGATAAACAGAGCGTGGTGCGGAAACAATGCCGTGTTTGGCACTAGTTGATAGTATGGTTACCGGCAGCGTGTGTCATAACAATACCAGATACAACATTTTGTCCGCCTGGGTCTTCGATTGAAACCTAAGTCACCTAAAGATGAAAAGTCGGAACGAGGAGTGATAACAGTTTAAAATTACAGGTTAAAATACAGTCTGGGCCTCGTACTTCTGTCACCTCAGTGATGTGACGTCACTAACGACGATGTTTTGGCATCGCTTTCAAATTTGTGAGGATTTCGATTTTCTTAAAATTCTTTCATTGGAGATCAGAACAAAGATAAATAATGGCAACATTCCTCGAATAATTAAAAAATGGATATTGCAATATGAAAATGGACACGGAAGTTGATAATTTATTAAATTCTTGTTTTTTTGCTGCCTGTTCAGTGCACCAATAAACATTGACGCTTTGTGTGAACCTTGTACAGTACAAGATTTTTTCTGTTCATATAATCGTTTGTATCATACTCTTTAAACCGCAGGCAATGCCTTATTTCAAAATATGGAAACTCTCGATAGTGTTATGGTTGTGTTTATGTAGTTATATCTGGTGTTTTAAATATTTCGATTTGTTTGTAATATAAACTATGCATTTTAACGTTTCCATGGTTTGGATATTAATTTAAAGTCATGAAAATGCGATGGCCAGATAACGATTGCCCATAGTATCGCGAAAAAAAACAATGAAATATTATTGAAAAAAAGATGTTAATATCAATTTGGATTAAATAACAGGCAAAGCCTATACACATGTTCTACACTTAGTGGTCTGAAAAGAATAACATAACTAATATACACCTCGCATTTTTTACAAGATTGAAATAAAAATAACACAAATTAATAAATAGAGAGCGAGAGAGGGTCAAGGGAGATAACTCTTACACATCATACACATTATATTTGTGTATACATAAATTACTTCAAATAGAGGTCAAGGGAGATAACTCTTACAAATCAAACACATTATCTTTGTGTATACATACATTACTACAAATAGAGGTCAAGGGAGATAACTCTTACACATCAAACACATTATCTTTGTGTATACATACATTACTACAAATAGAACATTTTTTTAATAATATCTTTATACATTCAATAATAAAAAGTTATCAACAGGTATGGCCTAAAAGTCCTTGTATCCAAGATGGCAAGGCCAACTGCCAACAACTGGCATATATAAACATTTTATTTCAGTAATCTATAGGGTATGTACATTGTGTATGATTCAACAGCCATGCTCAACTAGCCTCTACTATCTATGGCATTATAGACAACAATATATAATATATAAAGCACATGTTGACAAACGGAAACGGATATGATTCATTAAGGTCCTTTGGAGGCTTGAAAACATATATGCATAGAGACTTGAGAGATGGATAAAATACGTAAAGTAAAAATATAAAATGAAATAAGAGACAGGGAGCTTTACTTCATCGATTGATGATATTTGATATAAAGGGGGCGACAACATGATCACCGGGGCATGCATATTTGCATCACTGTTTAGATTTATATGTTAGATTCATCGCAAATTGATCCTTTACCATATTTGCTTCGTAAATTGTGATAAAATGTATGATTTCTAGCATTGTGGATATCATCCTTATACCAAACTTTCAATTATCCAATATTTTTATATTCTTATTTGTACCGTTAATAAAGAATGCTTCCTTTTATCGCTCATGCGTTTTGTTCGACTGTTTTGATAATTTTTATTCTCTGTTTGCAATTGATATTATGAATTTTCATGTTCACAACAGAATTACTGTTACTACCGGAAACGTGGTTTTCTAAATATAGCTATGACGTCACATATATTGTGATGTCATTAATAAGGAGAAATATAGTGTGAATATCGCCTCTTTAAATGTTATATACTTAACAAATAAACACATTATCAAGACTAATATAGGCGACAGTGAACTAGGGTAAATGTTGTTATTTCGAGAAAACACTTTTTTGCGTAATTTACCTGAGTAAATCTCGAGTAGAGTGAAGGAATCCGTTTCATTCTATGAAACAATTTTTTTACAATTTCACACCCGACTGATTTCAATGAAAATGTTGGCAACTTTTCTAGAGATTCTTAAAAACATATTAGTAACTTTAAAAACTTTCTGCATAATCCACATACGTTTGGGATACGTCATGGTGACTTTATAACCTTTTTTTATTATTAGTAAAGTAAAGTGCTTTATCATGAGTATTTACAAAAGAGTCAAAGTTTTCAGATACACATCGTTTTGGCTCCATTTCATATGAGATGAGTATTTCATTAATTTCATCTCACCATAACGAGTCTTTTTTTCATTTTACCGAGCATGAGGTAAATTGAAAAAAAAAGTTTCTTGAATGTCCTATACTATAGAACATCATGTCATATCCTCCTGTAAACAGTTGCTATGTATACACATTGGTCAGTATCAAGCCATTTGACTCACAAGTTTGAAAAATGGATGTCTATTACACATTTTACATGTGATCTTAAATAACTTAAAAAAAAAACAAAAACTAAAAACTGCACTTTCTACAGTTGCACGTGCATTGCATTGTAAGGCTATTTTTACATGGGCTGGTTTTATTTATTCTAACATAAATTCTGTTTCTTCTTCTTTTTTTGTGTTTTTTTCATATATATAAAATTTCTTGGAAGAATATATATATTTTCATGTTTCATTTTGTGTCCTTCTCATATATATCAGCTGTAGTGTAGTCTTCAATAGATATTTTCATGTTTCATTTTTGTTCTGAAAAATTGTGGTCAACGTTTCAGTGACAACTATGCAACAGTTACAAATATAATATTTTCTGGTCAGTTGGCACAGTCTTCCAATTATCAAGCATTGACATGCATCAGTGCGTATGTGTTCTTACATATATATATCAGTGGTAGTGTAGTATCATTATTATTATGTTAGTATCATTTAGCCCAGAATATATTCTTTATACAACTTGTTGGCTGATGCAACTATGTATTTCCTTTGCTTGCGAGACCAGTCTAAATTATTCTAAAAGCAGATAATTAGTTTAGTTTTTCAGAACGATTAATTTAACAATCTAACATTTTCTACTCACACAGGATTTGTCTTATAAGCCTACATAAAATGTAAAACCGGAAGTGATGTTTATCACCGGAACTTCCGGTTAAGTTCCTGTTTTGATTGATAAGATATTTTCTAATATACACAATATAAGCGTGGATCATTGTCTTTGATACACATTTGTGTACTTTGGAATATTTGAGAAGTTTGAAGGAAAGAATTACATCTAGAAAAGAAACAAAAATACAGGTATGTTGATATGTTTTAACACAGGTTTTGACTGATTGATTCCTTACATAACTTACAAGTAAAATTTCAAAGTGGTATATTGATTCTGTAAACATAAGAATATCACAGACGAACTTAACTATAGCAAACGTATCGTCATTTTCTCCTTATCTTTCCCACTGTTTCTGTAAACAACCAATGTCATATACTGTACTTTAAATGTCGTTGTTTTATACTATTTCTGTGATTTAAAGTAAATATCATTAGATGTCGGAATTGAAATTCATTATTGACCTAGAACATCCATTAATTAAACCAAGTTAAACTGATTGTCTTTTAGTGATAAACTGACAATAGTGTCTATATGCGAGGCGAAGCCGAACATTAAAACCATCTGTTCAGTTTTTTTCAGTATCGCGATCTGAACTGTTAGGAATTACACAAACAACATAATCTTAACATAGGAAAAACCAGAAACAATAGAGTGTGTTCAGTGTGGTCCCAGTAGATATATGGGTTGGTGTCAGTAGATATATGGGTTGGTCCCAGTATGGGGTGGTCCCAGTAGATAAATGGGTTGGTGTCAGTAGATATATGGGTTGGTCCCAGTAGATATATGGGTTGGTGTCAGTAGATATATGGGTTGGTGTCAGTAGATATATGGGTTGGTCCCAGTAGATATATGTGTTGGTCCCAGTAGATATATGTGTTGGTGTCAGTAGATATATGGGTTGGTCCCAGTATGGGGTGGTCCCAGTAGATAAATGGGTTGGTCTCAGTAGATATATGGGTTGGTCTCAGTAGATATATGGGTTGGTCCCAGTAGATATATGTGTTGGTGTCAGTAGATATATGGGTTGGTCTCAGTAGATATATGGGTTGGTCCCAGTAGATATATGTGTTGGTGTCAGTAGATATATGTGTTGGTCCCAGTAGATATATATGTTGGTGTCAGTAGATATATGGGTTGGTCCCAGTAGATATATGGGTTGGTGTCAGTAGATATATGGGTTGGTCTCAGTAGATATATGGGTTGGTGTCAGTAGATATATGTGTTGGTGTCAGTAGATATATGTGTTGGTGTCAGTAGATATATGTGTTGGTCCCAGTAGATATATGTGTTGGTCTCAGTAGATATATGGGTTGGTCCCAGTAGATAAATGGTTTGGTCTCAGTAGATATATGGGTTGGTGTCAGTAGATATATGGGTTGGTGTCAGTAGATATATGGGTTGGTCCCAGTAGATATATGTGTTGGTCCCAGTAGATATATGTGTTGGTGTCAGTAGATATATGGGTTGGTCCCAGTATGGGGTGGTCCCAGTAGATAAATGGGTTGGTCTCAGTAGATATATGTGTTGGTGTCAGTAGATAAATGGCTTGGTCCCAGTTTGGGGTGGTCCAAGTAGATATATGTGTTGGTGTCAGTAGATATATAGGTTGGTCTCAGTAGATATATGTGTTGGTGTCAGTAGATATATGGGTTGGTCCCAGTTTGGGGTGGTCCCAGTAGATAAATGGGTTGGTCCCAATAGATATATATGTTGGTGTCAGTAGATAAATGGGTTGGTCCCAGTAGATATATGGGTTGGTCCCAATAGATATATGTATTGGTGTCAGTAGATATATAGGTTGGTGTCAGTAGATATATGGGTTGGTCCCAGTAGATATATGTGTTGGTGTCAGTAGATATATGGGTTGGTCCCAGTAGATATATGTGTTGGTGTCAGTAGATATATGGGTTGGTGTCAGTAGATATATGTGTTGGTGTCAGTAGATATATGGGTTGGTCCCAGAAGATATATGTGTTGGTCTCAGTAGATATATGTGTTGGTGTCAGTAGATATATGTGTTGGTGTCAGTAGATATATGGGTTGGTCCCAGTAGATATATGTGTTGGTGTCAGTAGATATATGGGTTGGTGTCAGTAGATATATGTGTTGGTGTCAGTAGATATATGGGTTGGTCCCAGTATGGGGTGGTCCAAGTAGATATATGTGTTGGTCTCAGTAGATATATGTGTTGGTGTCAGTAGATATATGTGTTGGTCTCAGTAGATATATGTGTTGGTGTCAGTATAATATGTGTAATGTCCTTTCTTATCTACACAGCATTATAGATGTTGCATTCATACATTTAGATAAATAATATGTTGGTCGGTCAAGTACCAGAGTAACTTTCAAGAATCTGATCAAGTTCTGATAGATGATGATGATGATGATGATGATGATGATGATGATGATTATGATGATGATGATGATGATGATGATGATGATGATGATGATGAAAAATAGGAAAAATATAAACATATGAATTAAAAAAGAGAAGAATTTTGTAACCGTTAGAAGAAACCTTTATGCAAAGCCTACTTATTTCAATATTTTGATGATAGTGTTACAGAAAACCCTATCCTAAACACAGGTACATATTTTGAGACTTTTATGATCTCCATATACGGAATGGACATGTATCATACTTTTTTTTATAGTGACGTACAGCTGTTTATTTAGTAGTAGAACTAGCTGATTGTCAACGTTTTACAGAGTAGGTCTTCAAAGTAGGTATATATATATTCATCTATATAGAACAGAAAAAAAAGTGAAACTGGAGACAGGAAATGTGTCTCATGGATTTGTCATGTAGACAATCTTACCAACCTTTTCTGCTTTATATTGCTACATATGGTAATGATTCGATTAAAACATCAGCATTTGATCAAGGTGAAGGTCGCCCTATTTACTCAATATGCACTAGCCTTTCTGTCTTTATTGACGAAAAAGAATCCACTGTTGTACAAAAAGACACCTATGTTTTCCTGCTTGCCATAGCATCTCCTGTTCTAGAGGGAGATCTCCTCTGTACAAAATTCTCATCAGTGCTTCAATATCTAATTCGGTCAAAATCAATTTCGAACTCTTGCGGAAAAAAAGAAAGACTTAATACATGCATATTTTTTTTATAATTGTAAAGAAAAGCAAATGCTCTGGATGGGAAAATGTATCCTGCATGTGTAGAACATGTTATCTTATAAATATACTGTCTATGTGTATATCGGCATTATATCTTATCCCTCTCCTGTAATCAAGATCGTATTTGGCAGCAATATCACATTTATTTTAATTTGCAAATGTTTACAAGATAATTATTTTAATTTGTCTAATTTGGCATTTGAAATATTCTCCTAAATACGGTATGTCAGATATATTAAAAGACACGATAATTTAATCATCATTGTGAGTTGCGACCTATTATCGAATATTTTCTGTTATCTGTAAACATATAAAGTTGATCAGTTTGGCATTGCAAATCTTTACTCGAGATATCATTTAATCAAAAGAAACAGAACTTGTATAAACTGACCAAATGGTTAAAACGCCATCACATATGCTTAACAAAGGTTCCACTATATTCCTCCTTACACGATAAAACGTGATAGTTGTGTTTGTGTATACTCACGGTCATTTAAACACTCAGCAAACATTGTCACCTTATGCCTGCATACACTGCTCCCAATTTTGACAGAAATACACGAATTGCAATTCCCATGATCAGGACAACCGTGAAACCCCGAGAAATTAAGAACAATACATACTGCTCAACTAGCAGATACTTCTTCTATATAACATTAAAAATATCACCAATGAACAAATACCTACATTTGTATGTAACCCACAGTGATACTTACTTCTCTATTTCTTTCCAACTTTCATACCCCGTTATTTGGCTCTTAACCCCCTCATTATCGTACTTAATTTTGATGTTATTTTCCTTAGTAGAAAAAAGTGGAAAATCAGTTAGTAAGATGGGACTCAACTGCGCTGGGAAATTTGGGAAGATCTTCCTCATCGTCCTGAATATATGTTTCATGGTAAGTTGAAAAAAGAGGTAGGTTCCATATATTGAATGGCTCCGTTAAACTTCTTTCTTTTAGATTTATCCATTTTGACTAGTGTACCATGGCTGATACCATATATGTATATATTTATATTGCTTTATATCCGTACCTATAACGAATAAAGGTTTGTTGCTATAAACGTAGTTTTATTGATACATCTTTGATAGTAATACAACTTTTCTGGATTAAAATAATTTAAATACGCACGATCGAATTGTCCTTATTTGGGCCAGTATGTGGCCTGTTGGTTTTAAGCTAATATTTTGGCTGGAAAATATTTTAAGAATGCTTATAACTGTTTCATCTGCCCTTCTTACTAAAGTATGAATGCAAAAAATGGGACAAACGGGAAATAAGGCAACAAATGTATACACCCGAGACACAAGAAAATACACACAGTGCACATATGGATGCTTGTAGGAAATTATTATTCTAGATGTATCCTTTGTAAGAGATGGTCAATGCGAGTACCACAAAAAGATTTTGTTAAGAAGATACGTTTGTTACACACGTAATGTTATTTGAGTTATTACTTATTTGAACCTCATCTACAATGTATAATAACATGACATGTATTATCACCCCTTATGTAATCAATTGTGACTCGTCATTAGGATGTAACCTTGACAATAAAAATAATACATGGTTTGAAAACTTTAGCAAAAATCATTATTTAATTTGTTTATTTCTTATGTTGACATACATATATGTACACACAAACTGATGACACTACATGACCGTGGGGACCTGATAACTCGAAACCGGTCACTTAGTTTATTTTTAACTTACATAACTTTTTCCTGGAGATAATCTACACTCAGCACTGTACTGAACATATAAATGTACCCGGTACTCTCATCAACATCTGGTTTCCTATCAGAGATCTTGCAGCACGAATAATTCACTTATTTTTAAAAAAAATGATTATATAACATCATAAAGCACATGGAATAATTGATATCTGATATGTGTGTTTCAGTTGCTTGGACTAGCTTTACTAATTCCCGGGGTGTTAGTACATATAAACGCAGACTATGTCAATGAGAATATACTACCTCTGATGAGTACATTCACGTTTGGAGGGATCTCATTAGCTGGTGCCGCCCAGGGGCTTTCTATAGCTTTAATCGTTGTTGGGTCGGTCATATTTCTCATCGCCATCATTGGGATTCTGGGAGCATGCTGTGGCTGGAGGATGGCACTCATCATAGTAAGTAATGTACTGGGTGTACATACAGAAGCATGTAGCGTTTCACTCAGAGTGTCAGTAGTTAATAAAACAATTACAAATTTATTAAGTACAGAAATAGAATTGCACAGTGTATCACAAAATCTTAACTGGTGGTTAAGTATGAAGTGTATTTATTTATAACTTCATTACAGAATCAAACTGTTGGTTTTGCAGAGCTTTGTTACTAGCGACTTTGTTTATTCAAGTTTGTCATAATGATTGTAACTCTGTTAACGGCATATGTTGCCTGGATAAACCTATGTAACTATAATCGGTTTTCTTATCCAGTACGCTACAGTGGTGCTTGTTCTGTGGGTTACCCAGCTTGTGATTGTTTGCCTCTACATCACCATGAAGGATAAGGTAATTTCTACACTGGTTCCATGGACTCATCATTATTCCAAAGTAAAGGTTGAAGAAACACTTATGCTTGACTTCCCCGCAAACGTATAGAAATGCTTTGTCTCCTGTTCCAATGGTACAACGCCTTACTTACAGTAATATCGGGTCCTGTTCGCCCTGAAATTATAATTGTATTATGAATATCTATCACAAATTATAATTTAAGATCAACACCGAGGTTAAGTCACAGATGCTTGATCAGTTGCACCAGAATTACATCGCAGACGAGCTGAGCACTCAAAACACGTCTACCTCCTCTAAAATATCGACCGCTTGGAACTATCTCTTCATTCAGGTGAGTCGACGAGTAAAAATAACGTTATTTCTTTTATTTGCATACTAATTGAGGCAACAGGAAGGTGAAAGATACTATACGTATTAGATTGTAAGAATGCTGGATAAATCAAGCTTAAAATATATCACATAATAGTAATGGAACATTGAATCATTGGAAGATTGTTATTTTTCATGGTCGTAATCATTCTGTGAAAGAAAAATATTTCTACACGTATGTAATAGTGTCAAATAATGACGAACTGCTGAGCTTTTCTTGTCTCACCAGTCATTTATTGTGTTATACACAAAAAATACCCTACAAATAAAAACGAATACATTATACTCTCATACTTATCCAAGGGACATAACTCTGCACACTAAGAACATATATCTATTACAAAGCAAGCATTTAATATAATTACATACTTTATAAATCTAATTGCATTTAATGAGATTCATCAAAATGTTGATTTTACAATTATCTTTACAGGAATTTGGTACATTAAACTCCTTAACCAGATTATTTTAATGAAATACATGTTTATCATATTGTATAATGCAACTCACCCTACATGGAGTACAGTTTTGAGTTACTCCCATGTTACTTCCATTCCTATTAATCTGTAATACTACAAATTAATAATATAGACTACAATTAGATCTGTTCTCTCTACACACTGCATACAAACATACATAAAAAGGATATCAAATAAGAATCTATTTTGGCAACTTGTAGATAGAGCTACATTTATATATATATATATATTAACAATTATATTATCCTACTTTCAAAGATAATTAATAGTTACCGACTTATAATTAATTTATTGTTATATATGGATGACAGTAAATTCTTTGAAATACATATATAATATTACAAAGAATATAATTACTTACCAATAATACTGGTATATGATGAATACGAGTTATTTAAATCTTTCTCCGAAATGCTAAACCAGCCTGCTCCCTCCAAAACCCAAACCTGTATTGCCTGACACACCAAACTTCCAAGTAAAACTTTTGCTTAACTTTTCTTATGTTCCACCCAATCAAAATTATCTACCCTGGGTCAGTAGACAGGTCAGTCACAGGTCAGTATCTACCATTTCCATATATGGAAATGTCTTACCTGAACACTTATCACTATCTATACCTGTCCAAACCATTAAGGATACTTGCTCCATGATATACTCAAATAATATATTCACTATCTACATTGTTCAATACATCAATAAATTAAATTATACTTATATCTGAATCATATTAGATATATTACAATACATATTACAATAAAAAGATACATAATCTGTTCCATGTCAGTAGATACAATTGTATTCATGCAATGTTTTGTTCTGCCCAAACCTTTTAGAGTTATTTTTGTCAGAAGTACCCACATGAAACGAGGGAAAGAAGCAAAACCAGATCACGACATCAACTTTGCAGTCTTCACAAATTAGGCCACAGAAACGCTTATCCTCTCAAAATACTTAGTCTTGTAAATTCTGGTCTCTTTGATAATCTTTGGCCACGTTTTTGCCCCTCGTGTTATGCTTTATCTCTGGGTGCTGACCCATTGTGTCGTTGTATAATGACGCCTATTGAAATTGTCCTGTGTATTGATGCTAACGTTTATTTTGTTTTCATGATAGAGTCTACCTTTGCCTGTCGACGCACATGTTTATTTGTATGTGACTGGTAACCTTGATATTTCCGTCATTGATTTTTTTATAGTGAACTTATTGCACGTGTCTTTTTTCCATTTGATCCTTTGCATTTTGCTCATTTTCGTAGCTTAAATGTTGCGGTGTCAATCCTGTGTCATTACTCAGTAATGACTTTGACGAGACACAATGGAGAAAATCCGACCCAACGATGTCGGCACGAATTCCCAAGTCCTGCTGTGGCGCAACTGAAGCCAACTATCTGGTCTTTAGTAATCCGCAATGTACTGATTCACTCGTCACAGGATATTACGTCACAGTAAGTACCCACAAATAGATGATGTCACTTCCGTGCGAATTCAGTCATTTATCAGAAATTAATCATGTTGATCAGAGGTTTGGATGATTAAATGAGATGTTAAAGAAACTTTGTGAAAGTTTTGCTTTCTTGTTATTTTGTTGTTAGATAGTATATTTCGAGAAGCTCTCTTTTAAGTAAGAGGAATTTCGAACAAAAAGATTAGTGTTGGCAAATGTTACTGTACTGTAATTCATTTTTTCATTAAATCAATGGTTTTTAACCAATTTACTAACAATTGATAGAGACGCATCTAACTTTAATTGGAGGCAAGAGGTGAATATTACCTGATTTGGTAGGACAGAATTATGATATTAGTTTTATATTTTGTTAAAGACTAAATGATATTATGTCAGAGTGATGTTGGTATCTATTTTTCCTTTAGATTAATGTTGATAGTGTTGACATAGTGATGTTGATATGTTGGCTATGACATAGTGATGTTGATATGTTGGCTATGACATAGTGATGTTGATATGTTGGCTATGACATAGTGATGTTGATATATTGGCTATGACATAGTGATGGTGATATGTTGACTATGACATAGTGATGTTGATATGTTGGCTATGACATAGTGATGTTGATATATTGGCTATGACATAGTGATGTTGATATGTTGGCTATGACATAGTGATGTTGATATATTGGCTATGACGGAATAATGTTAATCTTTTGACTATGACAGGATATTTGTTTTTGGATTAAACCGGATAATAATGATTTTTTACTAAGCCGGGATAAGAATATTTTTACTGTGGTGGGAGAATATTGATGTTTTTGGCTATGACAGAACCCTGTTGTTTTAGGGCTGTTTTGATGCTCTCTATTTGCTCATCGACCGTTACAACGTCGCATTCATCGCCATCGGAGTCATCACTCTTGTCGTGCAGGTCAGTGCCCTACACAGCTAGCGCATTGTACAATGTAACCGTAGCCCAATAAATATCATAACACGTCTTTAAGCGTATTGGTATGGTCCTGCAATTACTACATCATGTGATTACTGATAACTTTTATAATGTTTTATAAAACTGTGCACTGACATTCTCCCCTTATGTAATCGTCTTGGAAAATCGATTTAAAGGTCATTGTCTTTTTTTAATTTGTTTGAAATATACAAATATTTGGATCCCTGTTAGTACCATTTAATAGTTTGTTGATTTGTTTTAGTTATGTATTTGTATACACATGTATCTATGTTAATGTATATTTATCTTATGTGATTTTGCGTATATCAAAGGTATTGATTTCCAATTTTAAAATAACCACAAAGTTCCGTCCATTACAAGAGCGATAACACCACTATTTGTGTTAGATATACCGAATTTAAACACACTTCATCCGGTGCACGGATGAATTTCACAGTTATGCATTTGATCAGATCTTTTTATTGTCCTACATAACAATGATAGTCACGTGGTGTAACGTGGTGATATTACGTGTAGAGGGAATAACATTTTCAGATAAAATAATCACTTAAGATCTTGCCTTACTGGGAGTATTTCATGAAAGTTGAATAGCATAAACTGATAAGATTTTTTTTTTGCGAGAGAATGTTTTGCTTAGCATTAAGTGGTTATCGAAGAAAGAATAACCCGGAATTAAACTTGTGTTATCACTTTTCGACGATAGTTTTTGCAGCACATGAAAGATGTCCCTTTGTAAATGCTTTACATGGAGAATGTATGGAAGGCAGAATACCTTACACGCATCCATTGTAGAATAATGTTTTACATCGGGGTTTTACTTGATATTTAACAAGCCTAGCTTTATCAGCTGTCTATAAAAGTTTCGCAAGATGAAGATATAGTTGAAAAAGTCCAACTTCACCTGTTATCAAAAAGTTTTGCAATAAAATATCTAAGTAAGCCTAGCTTTACCTGGTATCTTACAAAGTTTTCCAATGAAAAGATGTTTAAGTTAGAAATGCCTTCACCCGGTATTTGACGACGGTTTTGCATGGAAAAGGTATTTCAGATAGAAAAGCTTATCTTTGCCTGGTATTTAACAAAGTTTTACAGTTTTACAAGGAGAAGCCTATGAAATGACTAACTTTACTTGCTTTCTACCCGTTTTTTAGGGAGTTGCTATTGCCTCAGCTTGCCTGATATATAGACAGATGACAAGTCATAGCCAGTTCGCTTAGTACATACAGGTATGTAAAACGAAAATTAGAGATATGTAGCGGATACAACAAGTGCTGTTATTTATGCTGTTTTACAAGAAACACGACCTTAGCCAATGTCAATTGCTTGTTTTGGAAAAAACTGGAGGAAGTACCGTATACAACAACATTGAGTGACCTGGTTCTAGTACAATAAAGGAACTATTCCAACGATGTATTGGCTGTTATGTTGCCAGATATGTATTGTTCACAGTTAGAGCGTTATGACATGCCCTATGGTGAAAAGCGTACAACTTCAGAAATATGTTGAAATATAACAGTTTATTACAAAACAGAAGTTATTGATGTTTGGCTTCAAAACACTAGACTCATAGAAATACACATGGAAGTTGTTACAGTCGTGATTTACCTATGTAGTGGGGTTATTTTCAGCTCATTCATTTCAAGTGTGATACAAAATATCGAAATGATTCATTGATACCTGAATATTTGAAAAAAAAATCCACCTATTGTGGTAGAAACGTCCTAATAGTATAACTTCTTATCACGTATTATCGACGCAAAATCTTTGCACATGAGACTTGTTTCAAATATTGATATTTCTGTGCAAGATGTCTTAATCTTATAGAAAAACTCGCAGTTGTCAAGACTTTTTAATGATTTATAGGTTGATGAATTTTTTGGGGCAATTTTGCAGTCGTCATAGGGTCTTCATTGAGGAATAATGAACTCCTTTCTTGTGTTATTTGGATTGACTAATCGCTTGCTCTTCCGGAACATCTGATCTTATTCTCCATGTATTTTTTCTTGGAACTCCGTGTACTTATTTTACTCCTATTGTGCTCTAGTTAAATGGAAATTGAGTTCTAGTTATGATTTCATGCACAGGTTGGTTTTCTTGTTGTTTTTGTTGATTTCAAGCTGTTTATTCTTTTAGGAATGATAGACTGAATGTATCTAATTCACTCATCAAAACACAGGCGTTGTGTAAATGATAAGTTGTAAATTTCTGTTGACATATTAAACATCAACCAGAAATGAGGAGTTTTTAATGATAATATTTATATTGGTTACGTTTAAGATCGAACTTCTTGTGAAGACATCTACGGACATAACCAACATGAACGCCCATTAAGGAGGAACAGCCATTTATCTGGATTAATTAAAGCATTTCCAACATGAACGCCCATTAAGGAGGAACAGCCATTCATCTGGATTAATTAAAGCATTTCCAACATGAACGCCCATTAAGGAGGAACAGCCAGTTATCTGGATTAATTAAAACATTTCCAACATAAACGCCCATTAAGGAGGAACAGCCAGTTATCTGGATTAATTAAAACATTTCCAACATAAACGCCCATTAAGGAGGAATAGCCAGTTATCTGGATTAATTAAAACATTTCCAACATAAACGCCCATTAAGGAGGAACAGCCAGTTATCTGGATTAATTAAAACATTTCCAACATAAACGCCCATTAAGGAGGAATAGCCAGTTATCTGGATTAATTAAAACATTTCCAACATAAACGCCCATTAAGGAGGAATAGCCAGTTATCTGGATTAATTAAAACATTTCCAACATGAACGCCCAATAAGCTATAAACAAATGAACATAATCCTAATGAAAAACAACTGGCATTAAAAAAGGTTTTATACAATTTTCACGCTATATATAGACGTCTGAGCAACAGTAAATGTATTTATATTTCTGTGTAAAACACTGTATCAGTATATCTGTAAAATTCTTATATTAGTGTATATAATCGATAGGGAATAATATCGTTGCTTGTCATAATGCTATTTTCATTTGTGTTTCTGTCTATTTATTCAATCATTCATTATTATTTTAAAGGTATAGCCTTACCAAACGATTGTTACTCGGAATATTGTAATCGGACGAGTACTTCGATTAAAACAATTGAGTTTGCCAGATCTGATCAGAAGATTACTTATATTTGAATCACTTGTGAAGCAAGTTATATCAACTTACGGTAATCCCTTAATGTTGGACCAATATGAAACACTATTCATCATCCTGTGGTGATAAAACTGGAGTATTCATAAAAAAACCTACACGATCGAGCATTTCGCTCAATATCACATAAGACCCGATCAGGGAATCGAACCAAAGAAGTGTAGGTAAAATTACCTATGCATTACCACATGAACATGTTCCAACAAATATGCAGAATTGTTTGTACACCAATAAACAAACAAAAAACAAGAAAAACAAACAAACAAATCTTTCAACACAAATTTAGAATTTGACTCAGTTTCACCAAGTAAAGAATTAAACGACATGATACAACTGTTCAATTTTTTATGTAACAAAGATGTTTTGACAACATGAGGTTTCTAATTCTAGATTGCTGAAGTTATAAAATGAGATTTATATTGCATTGTATGGTACTTTTAAGTCTCGCTTGTTGTAGAGCTTGGCATCACTGATTACACCATCTCTTTGATTTTAGTTAAGGATTCCTGATAAAATTCATGACGTAAAAATCGAGAAAAGTCACACATTTATTAATATTTTCATGAAAATACTTCAAATAATTATACATTTGGGGATTGACGACAGCGAATTAATGGAGACCTGGTCTGATTATCAGGCTATATTTAAAGTTTAACAATTGTATGGACGGTAAGCTTACTCTATACAGGATCCTGAAACGCTTTCAAATATTAAATCTGCCCTCACGACGCCTAAACAAACCATGCCTACACACAATTTTTCATTAACATTTGCTTTCCAAAAATAAATGCCCATTAATTATTTAGAGTAAGATAATGTTGAGCCAAGCAATGAATAAAAACGTGTCAAACATCGGGAACTTAAAGTCCACCAACAGGTCTACCACCTGCTATATCAAATATTGTACAAAAGATATGTAAGTGAATAGCACCTTGTGATAATTTAATTAAGATATAGAAGAACCAACAATGAATTATACTGCATCATATAGTTGTTTCTCCCTTTTAGGACTCATCTTTACTGGACATCGTCCTATCGAAATGTATGAATTTTCAGATTCTACCTATCATCGATTCAATATCTGAATGAAGGAAACTTCCATATAAATATTTCTGGCAACCCAAATACTAAATTACATGAAATATGATAACAACAGAGCGAAATTTAGCTTTTCTTAATGTTTAAGATGTATTATGTTTGAGACAAAATTAATAAATTGCACGATCAAACATGCACCATTGGTATGCTTTGCCATTTTTAACTACGATTTGCAACAACAAAATTTCATTACAAAGTTATAACAATAAACTTACATGAGGATCTTAAATTTGCTTTTATGTCACATTTTATTAAATAAGTCTTAGAAGTTTTGACTTTTTGTTAAATAACCAAGAAAAGGGACATTCTATCCATTTTAATTTCTATTGTGGAGGAAAACAAACAACAAGAAAAAAAGCATGTCAACATAATCATAAACAAAACTCAAATCGAATAACATGAGGTTAAAATATGAACAAAACAACGATTTCAGATTAGCAGCTAGGTAATGTTTGTTGTTAGGATTTCGCACTAACAGCTGGATATTATCTGTAGTAAGGATTTCGCACTAACAGCCAGATAATATTTGTGGTAACTATTGACAAGAAATCAGAACCGAGATTATATGACTTATGGTTGGTATATTCTTTTGACATGCTTGTTTGACATTTTGACACCCATACCCCATGCCGTGGCTGTTTGGATCGCTCTTGGCATGACTATACCAAGCGGTTTTGTTATTAGATATTCTTTAATCATGCGGTCCTATTGAGAAAAAATTGAATTACGCAATTCAGTTTTGAGGTATATTACATTGCCGATGCTACTTATTTTAATATCCTTTGTTCTAGAGGCAATGTTTATTTCAGAAATTGAAAAGTTGCCAAATATGTTGAGAATGTATACGGAGATCGTTACTGTTTGAATGACACAGTCATTGTATTATGAGTTTTGTTTACCGTAAAGCTAGTTAAAACCACACTGTGTTATGTCAGAAAATAGTCAATGATAATAAATATATGATATTAATATCATATTTGATAGTCTGAATTACATATCTTACCAAACATTTTCTTTAGACTATTTGCAAATTATCAGATGAATAAAAAAAAGATACCTCTTTTGTCGATTGTACATATGTTTAAACTAATATAATGTTAAGAATATCGAATCATTTCTGCAAGTAGAATTGTGTCGCGGAACAGTATGACTCCTTGTTTGGTTTCTTGTGAAATGACGGATTTATATCTATATCAGCATCCACTGTGTTTCAGTAGGATTTATTTCTAGACACTTTCAGTGAATCGGAATCAGTTTTATCTAATTGCTTGGTTCCTTTCAGTCTTGTGCTGTATTGTTATTAAATTTATGGTCCTTATGCATTCAGGAACTTAGCAAGCAGGTATCACATTACAAGTCGTAGCATATGTTTTGTTTGCATGCCTTACATCGATCATAACTTGAGTTAATCTAAGATGAATGATTATAATATAATCCGATATGATCCGCAAAATGGAACAGCCATTCTAAAGACGAAAGTTCAAAATGGTCTCTCAGGATGGAATTAATTATATATTAAATCATACATTTTTCTGGTTAGTTGTGCAAATATAAATTTATTGTATTTTATCTTGCACAAGTTTTTTTTTTTTTTAGTTATAAATACCTGTTTGCGAGCACGGTTAAAAGTTATTATGTAACACTAATTGTGTTTATATTTATGTTATACGCATGCGTTTTTCTATTGTTTCAATGGGACGTATATATGAATGAAGTTATGCTTACATATTTTGAATATTGTTTACATATGTTGTAAAAATACCCATTCTGTGACGTATTGTTTGAACACGCGTATAAATTTGCATGCCTTCATTGACATCAAACGATGGTTATATTTGATGCTGATAGCAACAAGACTAATTGTCTTGATAGCAACTGAAAGATTGTTTCCATTTTTATTTTTATTTATACACTTCGATATGTCGCCATCGATGAATCAAAATTAAAATTCAAAAGTGCTATTCACTTGTGTGTCTTTTGGACAATCTTAAAGACTGCAGGTGATAGACACTTCTGGTGGACGTTTAGTTGCCGGGGTTTTTCATAACCTGCATACCTTGTTTTTTCATATACACTATTTACTTGACGATCTTCTAAAGCTATCAGATATACATGAATCAATAACTGCGAAATGATACCGTTAGTGTACCCCTCAGCGAGAGTTTTGCTATTCCTTCCATCACTTTTTTTTTATTTTCTCAGTCGCCATCATAGCTTGTAAACGTTGGGCTTCCATCACTGCCGAGTCCTTGAAGGACGAAAAACTGCACAGTGCAGTTTATGCATTGTTCCTACTGAAACAAACTCTAACTTCATATTGAAAGGTGATTTTCACTTTTGTATCTAACGACAATCACTGGCACCAGCTGGTGTGAACAAATTTCAGCAAAAACAGCAAATAAAAATTAGAACAAAATAAAAACATATCAAAATAATCATAATGAAATCTCTAATTGGAAAACAAGGGAAAATATCTACACAGAAACTCATGAAAAAGTACGCGGAAAATAAGACCAGTTGGTCCAGAAGAGTAAGCGTCTTTTGCCCCATACTCGCCATAGACATTTTGGTCAGTCCATTAATGCAATGTCAGGTCTCAAATCAGAACAAGGTATACAACAACGGAACCTACATATATAATAGCGAGCATCAAACACGTCCAGTTTCATTTCGCACAAAGAAATAAAACATTTCTCAATGAGTTCACTTTTACGACTGTAAAACTTCTCCTTAATTTCGTTTCGACTTGTTTCTTTTAAAACTCTGTGATAATGGGAACAGAACAGAAAACCGAACTGCGTTGTGAGAGCTTACCACCAAACTCAAAGAAGAGGTTTTCAACCAGAATCTCGACCATTTAATTATTTCTCCCAGAATATACCTTGTTCCTTTGAAGTATTTCACGAAATACGCTTCATTATAGTTCACAGGAATATATTTTACCGACATTAACCTTTCGTGGAAAAGAAAGCTCTTTATAGACATGGAATGATTATCTTCACGTTGGAATGGGATATGGTGGTGTACAGGTTGGACAATTCAGATGTTCTCGAAGAATATATTTTTAAAGGGTGTTTTAGATTGGTTAAAAAGCTCTCAGAAGTTCTTAAAAATCCACATACTATTAATTCTAGTATTGCAGTATCTCATTAAGACTAGCCTATATTTGATAGTTGGTTTAACAGCTAGACAAGCCAGAAATAAAGCGTTGTTTATATGAATAGTGTACATATAGTAAATAGACATACATATTCATAATGTTTAATGGGATTATGTAATACATCGAGTGCTGCAGAAAATTCGAGAAAACTGCCAATATCATACATGAAGCGAAGCGTATAACAAAAGTCTCCAACTAATTTAAGGGGGATTTCAACACTATTACTGGGGATTATAATGTACCAATGTGCAACCCGACAGCTCAAGTTAATGCTTCCTGGAGTACGCGTGAGACCAAACCTATTCCAGCATGTAAACTATCAACAGAAAGTGAGATGCACCCAGTACATTAGACCTTATACTTAAAAATCACCAAAGGTATGATAATAGGTCTTACAATGAGTGTTATGCAAAACGACCATTCAAGTTTATATCTCTATACCGAATGCTACAGAGAATTATCCGAGAGACCATAGAATA